CTTGGAAAACTGGTCCATGGACTTCTGGATGACTATCCCATCAATGGCTTGGCCAGTGTAGTATGGAAGGAAGGTTTCTCCTGTTGGGAAGCAAAAAATCAGAATAAAAGTGAAAAGCCAACAAGGACGTAAGCCGAGGTCAACTTCAGAGCAATTCCCTTCTCAAGTTGGGAATTAGTTTATGGTGCTAAGTAGGGATAGGCAAGCAATGATCTACCCAAGACAAGTGACCACACATCACATTCTCAGAGATGTCAACTGGAGTTAAGAATGTTCTCAACTCTGAATAAACCCACAATGTTCCCAGCTAACGTTAACCTCCAATTTGATCTTGATTTTTCCCACAAACCCACCAAATGTTCGATAAACTTTATTTTAGCCAACATCTTCACCACTTCTACTGCCGTAAACTTTCAAGCACAACATAAAGACAGGAAGGAGCGTTCCATGTCCTTTTAGTTTTACACCCAAATCACTCACCTAAGGCAGCTAGTAAGAGGAAGAAAAAGGCTACAACAAGGAAGTGGACATCTGGCCTGGTGTAGGACAGGAGTTTACAAATGGTGGCAGCTGAGGCCTCCTCTTTCTTTCCCCGAACCCCAGGAGAACTGGGGTCTCCAACGTCTTCTGCTTCAGCCCTGGATTCTGAATTAATCCCCAAGGTATCCCTGGCAGGGGTCACAGAGGAGAGCAGCTGCCAGAAGGAGAAGGTGGCCACCAGCGAGATGTAAGTCCAGGCGAATAAACCCCAAAACCAGGGATCCTTGATGGTCTTTCTCACTTCAGAATAAAGGAGCAACTTAACCAGGGCATAAATCCCAATCGCCAGACAGACCAAAATGATAAAGATCCGGGATCCTTTCAACCGTTTGGGACCGTAACTGGTGTTTTTGGCCACCCCAATGGAGGCCCCCAAGAGTAGGCAGCTGCGATACAAGCAAGACCCCCAAATATCCAGCATGGAGTCGAAGATGTTGAAGTGCTTGAGATCCTGAAGGATGGTCCTGCTGTGGCGGTTGTATTCATACAACATGGTGGTCAATGTCACGTCCATCCCTATGAAGATGAGGGTGCTGGCCACAGCTACCCAGGCACGCATCTTAACCTGGTTTCGGAATGAGGTAGAGAGGTAGGAATCGTAAAACAGATGTGAAGGGAGAAACCTGAAGCTCCTAAGCCAGGATTAACACCAACATCACTGCTCAGTTTTTCCTGCAAGAGGGGAAAGAACAGGACAGAGTTCTCACCCATGACTTCTTAACCATGATTGACCCAAGTTATATCCTAGTTGCTGGGCTTGCTTTGCACAACCAAGGAACAAGGAAGAGATGGCTGGGCACCAAACTATGACTGGTTTCATCTAGATCTCATGAACACCACGTTCGTCGGGTTAGAGTGCTTGGTAACTGGCCACAGCCCACAACTGATTTCCCCAGATCTAATTACAAACCAGTTGAACTACTCATTTGGTACAATGGGTTTGCTTAACAGCCGCCATATTTGCTTAACAGCCAGTGTGAAAAAAAAAGGTATAAAATCGGGCACCATCACCTGATGACCCACTTAATGATCAACACAACCATAATTCTGGGCTCAATTCTTCTGGTCATAAGTTGAGGACTACCTGTATAATCTTCCAAATACTTTAGTTGGTCCTCTATATACTCATCTGATATTCCGATCACTTCTTTTAAATTCTCCCTTTTTATATATCTTTTGTACCTTCTAGCTTTTGAGCATTGTTTTTAAATGTTTATTTTAATTCTCATTCTCTCTCTCTCTTTTTCTTTCTCTTCTTTTTCATGGCTGCACCCTTTTATGCTGGTCTATGCCTGTAATCAGGATTTTATTTGATAACCATATTGTCTGGAATAAACCATAATACACTACCTTTGTAAATCAGGCTAACTAGCTGTGCAAAACAGTAAGTGGAACAACCAACTGAATTAGCCTTTTGACAAGCCGATGGTTTAAAACAATGAATATTCCTCAATTGTTCGTTGCTTTCGATTTTAAATAAGTACCCAGGGACAAACTTCGCCTCTCAGCATCCCTTTAGATAGATAAAGATGAGAATTTTAAGGTAAGACCAGCAATCCAATGACCGTATTTTCGGGGGGGGGGGGGGGGGGGAATAAAGGACACATCTAGAAAAGGAGTAAATCCAAATATCTATTCATAAGGATCAAAAATATTATCTTCATAACTTCGCACGGCAAAGAAAAATTCAAAACATATCCATAAAAATCTAAGCCAGAAAGGCGCATCCTAATAAAAACATCTCAAATCCAGCCCTAAATGCAATAAATGCATTTTTTAAAAAGACCATTAAGTTTTCATCTTTTTCGCAGGTAATGTGCCATACTCTGCATTCGGGGGTACCATTTTTAGGGTAAAAGGAGAAGGATCAAAATAAAGGACTGTCCTTAATAATAAAGGATGGGTGGTCCCTGTAACTAGGCCGCTTGACTGTTGCCATGGAAACAGGGAAAGCTGGTCCTTCCTGTCTGTTTTTTTTAATATATTTTTTTTTTCTGCTTTTCATCCAAACCTTAAACCAAATCCCTGAATGGACATCCATATATTCCTTTTTATTTAATCTGAAGCCTTCAAGAAAAGTACCAGATGATCCAGAGAATCACACCAAGCTTGGGAGGCTCGGAACTCTCACAAAGGACTCCAGGCCCTATCCACCATGGCTAAGGATGATGGGCCCTGAAGTCCACCCCTTTTGGAAGGGGCAGGAAGCAGAAAGAATCGGACAGAAGGAATTTTCTTGAAAAAAAGCCCTCTTTGGTTTTAATCTTTCTGGTTAAGCACAAGCACAAGTAGAGAGAGAGGATGCTGCTTTAACATGCTATAAATAAATGGATTTAAAAGCATCCTGGGATTTTTCAATCTCCCTGTTGGACTTCATCCTTTCCACATAAAAAGCTCATCCATATAGAAAAATTAGCTAGCAGGGTGAAGTTTCATTAAGGATGCCATGCAAAGCAAGCTGTTTTTTAAAAATGAATAAATAATACAAATTCATCACAGTGCTACAGAATTTCAATAATTTAAAACTGCCATGACGTATCAATCTTATCCTATATTTAATTCAGATAACAGAGTAGAAAACTCTCCGATCAGGGAACAGCTTTGGAAGATGCTCAGATTTTTATTCTTACGCCAAACAAACCAGAATGGAGATATTACAAATGGGAATTAAAAGATACTTGGACCGCAGATAATTTTTTTTTTAAACACACCCTGTAAAACTGCTGACCTATCTTTGTATATTCCCTTTGTCCTCCCCCCACCCCCCCTTTAACATCTGCAGAAGAAAACATCAACTCAACTTTGATCCTCCTTACAACTTTGGGCCCAACAAAAGATTTTGTGTAAAAGCTACGAAATCTTGAATGGGGAGGGGGTTTAAAAGGGGGGACTCATCCAAATTGGGGCAAACTTCATTTCAATCCAATGAAGCCCCTTCAATGCCATAATAAGCCCCAGAGCTCCTTGCCAGAATCTGCCAAGTCATTTAAAGAGGAGGAAAAACAGTGCAAAAAAACAACAGCAGAACTTTCGGCCAGCACGATAAAATCTAATTTATTAACCTGATTTCATGCCTTGGCTAAAATGATTGCCTTGCTTTGATCTGGTCCGCTCCTTGCCAAAAATAAAAACATTTTTATGTTCTTGTTCCTTTTACCAGGCCGTTGGCAGAGAGGTCCGCAGAGAAGATGCTGGATCTGCCCTTAAACGAAAGGAGAAGATTGACTTCGACGGGAGGGAGAGATCCATTCGATCAAAAAGGAGGCAGGTGACAGATAATCCGAGTTAGAAGGGACCTTGTAGGTCATCTAGTCCAACCCCCTGCCCAAGCGGGAGACCCTACACCATTTCTGACAAATGGCCGTCCAATCTCTTCTTGAAAGTCTCAAGGGATGAGGCAAGCCAGCTTCCTAATAATATTCCTCATAAAGCAACCAGGCTGCTCAGATGCCACCCCCCTCCCCAAAACCCTCCATTTTCCACTAGATTCAAAACAAGCAGGGTAGATGGGAACGAGGCTGACTCAGCCCAATCAATCTACTGCAGTGAACAAAAGACGGGAACGAAGCAGGCTGCAAAGGAAGTTACCCAGATCTCAACTTATTTCCCGGCCTGACTCAGTCGTTTTGACAGGGGAAAAACAGCAGGAAAAAAAATCTATTCCCCCAAAGGCCCCATTTTTACCCCCAGAATCCAGTGTAGATATTTTTTTTTAGGATAATTCTGAAAACCAGCTGGATGGGGATGGGGAGAGATGCTAGGTGCATGTAAAGCATCCCAAATAATAATAATGATAACAATAATTTCTTCTTCTTCTTCTTCTTCTTCTTCTTCTTCTTCTTCTTCTTCTTCTTCTTCTTCTTCTTCCCATTATTATTATTAATAATAATTAATAATAATAATTTATCATTATTATTATAAACCTTCCTGAGATTTAGAAGGTAGGCCCCAGCTAATGTCAGGCACTCTCCAGCGGCGGCTGTCCAGACCGGTATCTGCAGCCACAGCTTGGGGGCAGCAAAGGATTAGCCAACATCCAGCAAGCCAAGGTGGGCAGATCCCAGTTAAAAGGGTCTGAATTTGTCTTTCTGCAAACCAGGGGTGGGTGGGGTGGCTTTCCAAAGGGGGGGGGTGGCGCAATGATTCCCACGCTCGCCTGCCTTTGCAAGCGAGGGTTTGCGCCCCCTTCACACACACCCCGGCATCAAGCAAACCGAGCGGGGAAGAAAGAGAGAAAAAAATCAAATCAAATTTAATTTAATTTAAAAGACAGGTGTTTGACTCTCCTTCCCGCAGGGATGGGTTCCTCCCCCCCCACCAAAAAAAAAGGCGTGGGAAGCCTCAGCTGCCTCTCTGCATCAGGCTGGAGGGAGGGAGGGAAGCCGGCATGCACGGGTCTGGGGGTGCACGTGTGGATGCCAAACACGCCAGTCTCTCCCCCC